TATATATAGATAAGAGATTATAATAGAAATAAAAAATTAATATATCAAAATGTAATCAAAGTATTGTTTAACTTTTGTCTGTCTGTCATTCCGTAATCTCGAAAAACGTTTTAAATATAAGAGATTTAAGACAATAAGTAAAACATTTATGAGAGCAGAAAACTCAGATTAACTATACAAGAATATCAGATAGAAAACAGAAGTGACGTTATTTTAATTCAAACATTTCCCACTGAAAGGAAATAGATAGATGACGACACAACATTGTTCATATTAATAGTAGAAAAAGTATGATGTACAGGGGCAAGCCACTAATAATTATAGCTGAAAAATATTAAAAATTAAAACTGCAGCCCACCATTGTGACGATGCCGCAGTAAATAATTGCTCGTTATAGATATCGTGTTACCTCCTTTTACTTTAAATCTTGATTATGATCGTAATGAATTATTAATCACTTTAATATATGCCGTTTCTTACTTACAGAAGTGTGACTGTATGTAATTAATTCTATTTATTCTAGTAATGTTGTAATTGTGATATTTTTAATAACATTTTATGGCAGCTTACGGGAGGTAACTTAATTCATATTGTAATGAATCAATATATGACTTGTTGCAATATGAATCAAATTACATAATGAGTCGCTTAAATTCACATCTATTATTGTATATAATTTTAAAATCTAAGATTGACATTGTGTAAATGTATTTTATTGGCTTAAGGCCATATAAATTTTAAAAAATACAAATCGCTATTCTTGATTACCAGAAATTGATGTGATTCACTCGTAATAGCGCGAATAAATGGTTGAAATGCCTATGATCAAGGATAGATCGAATTTGGCTTCCATTGTGATTTTACTTTTGCCCCGAGTAGGAGTCCCGATACGCTTAGTAACTATGTACCGTCCACTAGGGAAGCGTGATTGAAAAAGAATTACCAATCAGAACAGACAAAAAAAGGTAGATTAATATCCATTTTTTCTTTTGTCCGTTCTGATTAATAATGCTTTCTCAATTACGCTTCCCGAGTGGATGGTCCCTTGTTACTTAGCGTATCGAGACACTTACCTGGAGCACGAGTAAGGTCACAATCAAAGCCAAATTCGATCTATCCTTGATCATAGGGCGACATTCCTTCGACGATTTATGATTTCTGCATACAAAGAAAGTGTTCCGGATACAGAAAATTCTTTCTAATGTTTCTAAACAATTAAACTTCCTATCTAAATTAATCAATTTTTGCGGATTTCGTGACGGTTCGGACCATACAGATATACTGATTTCATTTACTTTGATTTACCCTTTTACCACTTACCCTGCTACGAACGTAATATTAAGTTTCGTGAAGTCTTTGGTAAAACGCGGAAAACGTAATATTACGTTTTTCTATATATCAAGTTATTTCTAGTTAATTAATTAAAGTTCAAAATAACCAAAAAGTCGCGTATTAACGCGTAAAACGCAATTTCTGTCCAGTGTGCCAACCCGTAGTGATCTGAACCCGTAGTGGCACAGGTTACTGTGCCACTACAAATTCAGGTCGTGTCACCAACGACAATCGACGAAGTCTCTTAATTGGCCTTACAGACTTGTCAATGCCACTGCCCCGGAGACACATTCGATCGACGATCAAAAAATGACATCGACATCCAGGACTTCAAAACCGCCGATCGTACTAGAACGATGTGTTTTGTATATTGGATGTTGCCTTTATGTTAAAATAAACGGTTTATGTTAGACACTTATCTACGCTGTCTCCTTTGCTACCCCCTACGTACGAACGGACCATACACCATCACTGACACAAAATTAATTGATTTCCTCTAAAAATTGGCAAAACACTGGTGTCCAAGAAGTGGGATTTAAACATAAGCATGATATCAAAGTATACAACACGACAAAATTAGCAACTGAGTAGTGAAGAGTACGGTTTAAAAGTATGAAAATTTTCCATTCACATTGCAGGCATCATCTTACAACTTAAAAAAAAGTCGAAAAGTATTGAAATATGCACCTAGAAAAAAACTGAAAGTAATGTACTTCGAATAATGTTTGCAATTTTGTTTGTATTAATATTAGTGTAGAGAATATCTCCATATACTTTAAGATATCATTTAAATACCTGAGAAAATATTATTGATTTAACAGCAATTTGTCTTAAGTAAACTTGTGTCGCTTATCATTATACACTTAGCTTCACCAACAATATTTATATTATTCTAAATTAAGTATAGGCTTACGTTATCTTTTAAGTAAGTCCATTCTCACTGTTAATAGCGTATAATTGAAGATTTGTATGAAATCACACTCAGTTTTTGTTTCAACGGACATTTATACTAATTANGCTAATCCGACAATGGCTTGACATAATGATATAACTGACACGCCGACATCTGCACAAAAGGGTGTCAAAATGATCAGTATTGAAGATAAACAGGAAAAAATTATGACAGTTTTCTTTGGTCCAAGTGAAAATGTAATGGATCCTCCTGCAAGCTGAGTTACCACGAAACCATAGAAATAACTTCCTAGTATTATTCCTTGAGTGGGTTGTGTCCATACGTAAGATCCCTAAAAGTAAATGCAATTAGTGGTTTTATATTGAATATAATTCAAGCTTTGCGAATTAAATTATGCAGATTTTTCTACTTATAGCTGAAGTATTTCTTTCATTTTGTTTTTGTTTATTCGAACCTTTTTTTTATAATCAATTATTTGAATCGCTAACTTAGATTCAGAAGAAAACGTGTAATTTTGGTTGCTGACTTCATTAATATTTTGTTCAGCTTTTAATCTGGTAAATGTTGAACCTTTAAATCGGTTCTTTCGTAAGCCTTGACAAAAACAAAATGAATTAAAATATAAATTTAAAATCATTATGTGAAACAGGAAAATAATTACATTTCCGTTGTAATCATCAATTTATTTAAAAACAATTATTCCGCGATTTATAAACACATTTTGTATAAAACATTTGATATTCATCACTGATATTTGTTAGTAATTTATGCATACAATCTACGTTTAAACATTTACCTCTTTGTAAATATATGTAGAATTTTGTTGATAGGTTTTTGGACATTCTGTTGAAGAAGTGGTATTATACACGTGGATGGCTGAATGATTAACCATGGCTAAAATAGCGATACTCAGCACAGATCTTTGGCAGTACGCTATTACATGTATAAAAAATGTAGACAAGACCAATACGTAACGAGTGGGAACAGGAACTGAAGTAAAAACGTTTGTAAGATTTCAACAACTAAAGTTAAAATTTCAATAAATATAAAGAATATAAAAATAAGATTTCATAATTAATTCAAAGCTTGAAAGATTATTTTCAACATCCAAGCAGAATATTATTGTTTACGTTATATTTCTATTAAAAAACCATTTCTGAAATTCAAATATAATATAAAAATTTAATAAAATTTAAGATAAGGAACTGCTGGATTTTTTATGTATTGGTACCAAATTAGTGATACTTATGGATTACTAAATGTATTTAGTCCTAAAATTTCATAAAATAAATAAATGACATTATGTGTCATCTTTTAATACTGATCATGTTTGCAGGTAGATAGGCAAATGAGGCATCGCATCTGATATGCTACACTGTATATTACTGTGAAGAAAATAGGATGTGTGTTTTGACTAAGCTTTGCATGTATATCATAAACAGAAGATCATAAACGATCAATCTAGAAAATAGGCTAGATAATTAAGAGAGTGTGAATTCTTAACGGCTAACTACTAAGAGGGTACTGTATTCAAAAGCATTTCAAAGCCTTTTACCACTCTGCTGTTTACGTTTTTTTATATTTAAAGCAGAATACTGAGTGTGAACAAGTGTAGAAGGCGTTACCCCTCTAGCTGCGAAAAAAACCAAATATCAATGAAAAGGAGATATTTATGAAAAATAGTTATTGCAAATTGTTTTTTATTTTAAGAATTAATAGTTGTTTTGGGCTCCAAGGGGGTGTGAATCGCAATATAAGGCCACAACAAGAATGGCCTCTTAGCCTATCCATCTTAACTCTTCGCTCACTTTCACCCGCATGCCGAAGTTGCCCCGGTCTCCCCTATGTATAGAAATCGACATACCTTTTGGATAGAGAAGTGCTGAATGATATGTAAGTATGATGGAAATTTAGTCAATATTGTATGATGACCGAAACCCCAACAAAGTTTCGTCAAAGCTACTATCCACACTGCTCTGGATGTTAAAATTTGTTTCCAGGGTATATTCAACTTCTGTTTTAAGTAAACATATATTTATGAGAGCTTAGGCAATAAAGTAGAGTAACAAATGATATTACATTTTCTCTTGAGGAGATGTTTGGTACGCTTTCGTTAAGAAATGTCAATTCTTTGTCAGATATTCTGGGATGTTGTTGAGGTCTATCGTAAATTGTGAACGTAAGACATAAAGGAAGGACAATCCCACATACGCCTGTTGTAAATATATAGATTAGAAATGATACTGTCGTATTTTACCATTGAAGAAACAATCGTATTATTTATGTTCACCGAAAGAGTAAAAGCTGGAAGACCATCCTTTATGTTCACAAAGATATCCTGTTGTCATTAAACCAACAAATGTACCGACTTGAGTACCAGAATAAGAAATTGAGGATAATATTGACTTTTCGTTCTTTGGACTCCATCTTCCTAGTAGTGTAAAAGATCCGTGAAGTACAAGTCCCTGTGATAAAATAATTTTTGAATAAATGAGGTTTGCAATGACAATAGTAAATTTTACTCTTACTTGTGCTAATCCGACAATGGCTTGACATAATGATATAACTGACACACCGACATCTGCACAAAAGGGTGTCAAAATGATCAGTATTGAAGATAAACAGGAAAAAATTATGACAGTTTTCTTTGGTCCAAGTGAAAATGTAATGGATCCTCCTGCAAGCTGAGTTACCACGAAACCATAGAAATAACTTCCTAGTATTATTCCTTGAGTGGGTTGTGTCCATACGTAAGATCCCTAAAAGTAAATGCAATTAGTGGTTTTATATTGAATATAATTTAAGCTTTGCGAATTAAATTATGCAGATTTTTCTACTTATAGCTGAAGTATTTCTTTCATTTTGTTTTTGTTTATTCGAACCTTTTTTTTATAATCAATTATTTGAATCGCTAACTTAGATTCAGAAGAAAACGTGTAATTTTGGTTGCTGACTTCATTAATATTTTGTTCAGCTTTTAATCTGGTAAATGTTGAACCTTTAAATCGGTTCTTTCGTAAGCCTTGACAAAAACAAAATGAATTAAAATATAAATTTAAAATCATTATGTGAAACAGGAAAATAATTACATTTCCGTTGTAATCATCAATTTATTTAAAAACAATTATTCCGCGATTTATAAACACATTTTGTATAAAACATTTGATATTCATCACTGATATTTGTTAGTAATTTATGCATACAATCTACGTTTAAACATTTACCTCTTTGTAAATATATGTAGAATTTTGTTGATAGGTTTTTGGACATTCTGTTGAAGAAGTGGTATTATACACGTGGATGGCTGAATGATTAACCATGGCTAAAATAGCGATACTCAGCACAGATCTTTGGCAGTACGCTATTACATGTATAAAAAATGTAGACAAGACCAATACGTAACGAGTGGGAACAGGAACTGAAGTAAAAACGTTTGTAAGATTTCAACAACTAAAGTTAAAATTTCAATAAATGTAAAGAATATAAAAATAAGATTTCATAATTAATTCAAAGCTTGAAAGATTATTTTCAACATCCAAGCAGAATATTATTGTTTACGTTATATTTCTATTAAAAAACCATTTCTGAAATTCAAATATAATATAAAAATTTAATAAAATTTAAGATAAGGAACTGCTGGATTTTTTATGTATTGGTACCAAATTAGTGATACTTATGGATTACTAAATGTATTTAGTCCTAAAATTTCATAAAATAAATAAATGACATTATGTGTCATCTTTTAATACTGATCATGTTTGCAGGTAGATAGGCAAATGAGGCATCGCATCTGATATGCTACACTGTATATTACTGTGAAGAAAATAGGATGTGTGTTTTGACTAAGCTTTGCATGTATATCATAAACAGAAGATCATAAACGATCAATCTAGAAAATAGGCTAGATAATTAAGAGAGTGTGAATTCTTAACGGCTAACTACTAAGAGGGTACTGTATTCAAAAGCATTTCAAAGCCTTTTACCACTCTGCTGTTTACGTTTTTTTTATATTTAAAGCAGAATACTGAGTGTGAACAAGTGTAGAAGGCGTTACCCCTCTAGCTGCGAAAAAAACCAAATATCAATGAAAAGGAGATATTTATGAAAAATAGTTATTGCAAATTGTTTTTTATTTTAAGAATTAATAGTTGTTTTGGGCTCCAAGGGGGTGTGAATCGCAATATAAGGCCACAACAAGAATGGCCTCTTAGCCTATCCATCTTAACTCTTCGCTCACTTTCATGTAGTGGAGCCTGTTCAGTCGAGTGTCGACGAACAAACGAGCGTAAAGGGGGCCCTGCAAGGGTAATACTTTAGTGCCACACTGGAGGAGGGCCTTCCGGGGCTGGGTGCCGCCGGACGCGGGGCGGTATCTGTAAATAGCGGACGACCATCTGCCGCTTAAGGCCTGTAGTGAGTCTCTTGGAGCTCAGGTGCTAGGCCACTGCCAAATCCCTGCTAAGCCTGGTTCCTCAGCCCAGCTTAAAAAAATGGGAAGGTTGGTGTCTGGTTGGCGGCTGACTGTAAAAACCCCAGCCAAATCTTTTTGTATGGAATGTCTGATGCCACTTTGAGATGTGATAATACTAGGGCGTACCCCATAGGCAACGCGCAGCCGCAGCACCTGGCGACTGTGGGAAATGGACAAGGGTTGTTGTCTCATATGGGACGGGGACAACGTAAGAAGCGAGTCCCATTAAAAGTGGGAAGTTGGAATATAGGGACTATGACAAGGAGAGGAGCTGAACTAGCAGATACCCTGAGAAGAAGAAGAGTCAATATAGCGTGTTTACAGGAGACAAAGTGGAAAGGGCCAAAGCTAAAGAGATTGGCGAAGGGTATAAACTTTTCTACTGTGGTAAAGATGGAAAGAGAAATGGAGTGGGGATAGTCATTACACAACGACTTAAAGAAGAATGTAGTCATAGTCAATAGAGTAAATGATAGATTAATATTGGCGAAACTGAGTAATGGATAACGGATAGTTAATGTAATCAGTGCATATGCGCCGCAAGTGGGTATAGATGCTGAAGTTAAAGAGCAATTTTGGGAAGATTTTGCTAACATAATGACAGAGGTACCGACAGATGAGGAGATATTTATTGGAGCGGACTTTAACGGGCATGTGGGAAAAAATAATGCTGGTTGTGAGAGAGTACACAGAGGCAAAGGATTTGGTGGTAGAAATTTTGAAAGAGAGTGTGTTTTGCAAATGGCCACCGCCTATGATTTAGTCGTGGTCAACACTTATTTTAATAAATGTGAAGAAAATTTAATAACTTATAAGAGCGGGGATCATAAATCACAAATAGACTATCTATTAAAAGAGATTAAGGACTGTAAAGTGATACCAGGAGAAGACTTGACTAGTCAGCATAAATTCTTAATAATGGAATTAAGGATTGATCTTAATAGGATTAAGTATAAAGATATACTGATACCTAAAATTAAATGGTGGTTTTTAAAAGGGGAAAGGGCAATAGAGTTTAAAGACAAAGTAATAAGCGTTATTAATGGTAACGCGAAGTGCAATGATTCAGCAGATGAATGGTGGATACAGGTGGCCAGGGAAATACGAAGGATTGCAAAGGAACTTCTGGGAAAAATAAAGTCAGTTAGGAAAATAGAGAAGGAGGTATGGTGGTGTAATGAAGAAGTAAAGAAAGCTATAAGAGAAAAGAAAGACTCTTTTAAAAGTTGGCATAATGAGAAAGGAGATAATAAGGTAAGGGAAGAGAAAAGAGAGGTCTATGTGCAGATGAAAAGAAGGCAAAGACAGAGGTCGCCATAGCTAAGGCTCAAGGCCAGGACGAAATGTATAGGTCACTCACGGGAAAAGTAGGTAGAAAAGCCATATATAGACTTGTGAAAATGAGAGGCAGAGGGAGTAAAGATATGACCTATATCAAGTGTATAAAGAACACAAATGGCAAAGTGCTAACTAAAAATGAAGAAATTAAGGCCTGGTGGAAAACATACTTTAAAGACTTTACGAACGTGGAAAATGACAGAAAAACTAAAACAGACAAACTAAAACTGAAAATGTAAAGCCAAATATTGGCCTAGTAGGCATAATAGAGAAAGGGGAAGTACAGCTGGCATTGAATAAAATGAAAAATGGGAAATCAGTGGGCCCGGATCAGATACTAATAGAGGTATGGAAAGTCCTAGGAGGGGAGGGAAGAGACTGGTTAACAGAGCTGTTTAACAAAATACTGTTAGAGGGAACTATACCCAATGAATGGAGAAGAAGCTATTTAGTACCCATCTTTAAAGAAAAAGGGGATGTGCAGGAATGTAATAATTATAGAGGGATAAAACTATTGGCTCACACAATGAAACTTTTTGAAAAGGTAATTGAATAGAGGATTAGAGAGGAAACTAGTGTCACTGAAGGCCAGTTTGGATTTATGCCTGGGAGCAGTGTTGCTGCAATGAAATTTCAAAACGTACTGAAATGCCTTCAAAAAATGTACTATTTTCCTTCAAAATGTACTGGTTCTATGAATACTTTGTTTACGTGCCTATATATACATATACACGTAATTTATATATATA